TTTCTTCATAATGTCTTCTTATTACATTTTTGTCTTTACCTTAAGCATGAGTAGCTAAGGCTTTAAGTTGGCTAATCCAAGGAGACCTCCTCTTGGGTATGCCATTTCAACTCAACTTATTTCCTCCCTCGGTGTACAATGGTTCGATTTGACTAGGTAGAGTGAGGACATGGTGTGAGTCTTTGATATCCCATAGGCTTGTCATGAGTTATACTTAGATCCTCACTTCCATCTCATCCCTCGCTTCCTACGAATCAGTCATTCATCTATGCACCATTAGAGGAAGGTTTCGAGTTGACTTGACATTCACATTAGAGTGAACCCTTCGGATTAGCCAACACTTGTTTCCCATTTCAATTTCATCACAACAAAAAATCACAAACCAACTTCAAACAACAAAAAATTTTACACTTTTCTTTCACCAAAAGTACCTTCTACACATTCACCTCCTTCCCTGAGGAGATGACCTTGGAATACGGTTCCAAGTAAAACACGATACACAAAAGTCTTCTTGCGCATGGGAAGCATTTTGTTCCACCATTTCGTTGCCCTTTCTTTTGACATCATTCCAACGGGGAGTGACACTCCCCTCTACACATAGACTATACGCATTGAGGGATGATGTTTAGAGATTAGGATATACTACAATGGAGACAATCAACTAGTATAGCAGGCTCTGGACTAGCAACGTCAGACTCTGAAACTTTTCACTTCTTAGAGGTCGGTTCATCAGAAAGTATTGTTTCAAAATCTGGAATGATGAACGGAGTAGTGATCAGCTCGAAAGTAACAACCTGGGGTTAAGCTTGAATGATTCTTAGGCAGCTCCACAATCACCATCTGTAAGTTCTTCTGATTTCTCTTACATTTTCGCTCCCTCTCTAATCGTCCTACTCTCGATTTCTCACTACTGTTTCGTAAATCTGCTTGATGTGTTCTATTATCGATACATCTCCATAGTGTTATTTGATTGACTGCTCAAAGCCCTAGCTTTTTTATGGACTTCATAGTTTGTAGTTTTGTGTGCGGTTCTCAATTGCAGGTCAATTTTGATCCACACGTTCGCCTCTGGTTTATCATCTGATCTGTGTTGCATTACATTGTTTCGGAAAGGAAATGTTTTGCCTTTATCTGTTTTAGAATTGCTTTGAATCAGTCTAAATCAGTCTATGTGTCAAAAAGGCTGTATATCTTTATCTTCAGCTGGATTATGATTGAGGAGAACCAATGCCAATCACCAAGTTGTTTAATTTCGTGCTTCAATGTGCTTGTTAGTTCGTTTTTGGTTTTAAACTGTGTGTTTGTGTATTTTTATTTTATTGTTTGAGAATTTATACACTATTTTAGCTCTTGCTTTCTTTGTTGCAATCATTCTTAACATGGTGCTTAATTTTGGTGGGAGTAAAGTTTGTCATTCCATCGGAACTGAAGTTGTAGTGCCAGCTCAGTGCCAGTGATTTGACCTGGAAATCTATTGGTACATTTGAATACTCTAGCATTTTCATGAAATTTGAAATTATGGTGTAAACATTGTGATTGTGAGTTGGTGACAGTCCGAGGAATATATTGACATGGAAACACTTATATCATGAGACTGTAAAGAACAGCAATTTTTTCCTCCTCTGGGAAGTTAAAGAGTTTATTCATGAAGGAAAATAACAGTATAAGGAAAGGAAAGGGCAGCCTCAAAGTATACTACTAGTGGGCATCCCCAGCCCAGCACACCAAGTTAACTACTACCAATATCAAAACCAAAAGCCTGGGGTTGTATATTGCTCTGGGTTTTTAGCTGAGTACTACTAGCAAACTCCAACACAAAAGCTTTATTGGTTTGGCAGTATAAAACTATAAATAAAGCATGTTAAGTGTAACTCCTGCGACCTGTTTTAACCATCATACAAAATCAGTTGTTCCAACATTAACACTTGCTCTCATGCACAAGACCTTTAAAGCTCTCCAAGTCAAGTGGAAGCAGAATGCATGGGTGGCCTCCATTGATTTCTGACATGCCTACGGTTCCCTGTATCCTGGCATTGTAGAAAGAAGAGAGCTTACCTCTATATGACTCAACAAATTCATGCTGAACAGAAATCACATCTTGATGTTCATTGCAGAAAGTCATTGCATTTCTTTCCCTCCACATGCAAACATACTCCAGCTGCCAAACGTAACCAGTATATGGTCTTTGTGAGAGCCTTTCATTTCCAGTGACAACTAGCCCTTCTGGAAACTCAAGCCCAGAAAATATTGCAGATCTTGCACGTTCAGTTTGCATTTGTTTAGTAGAGAAATCCATATTGTACGAGTTTGAGGCATTAGAAGAATGGATAGTTGAGGTTGCTCCGAATTCAGCGGGAACTCAGTTTTGGGGTGGGAATTTGTTCTTCGTCTTTAGCTTTCAAACTTATTATTGATACCTGTTTGCACTAAAGTGACATCCTTTTCACATATTAGCTTTGCGAGTGCAACAATATGAATCAGACAGGCGACTGCTTCTATAATTTTCTTTGCTGTTGTGCCCCCTTGTTGCCTTCTTTGTGAACCAGAAGCTAGGGCAATTCATTAGGATGACTGATACCATTCAAATCTCTTTGCTACATGCTCTGATGTTTATAGCAGACAGTGACAAAAGTGATGTTCTCTATTCATTATAAGCTTCAAAACCAACTTATATATTACTGGTATCTGTTTAGT